CCAGCACTCTTAGGCAGATGAAGCTGATGCAAAACTACAACTCTCATGACTCTGTAGCACTGAATGATGACACTTAAAGTGGTATCAAGCTGCATTATTTCTACAGTGTAGATCAAGCATGGAACCCCCGGCGGCGCACTGGGTTAAACCCCTGTGCCGGCAGGACTGAAGAACGACAGGTTGCAGGTTCAAATCCAGGGAGAGCGTGGATGAGCTCCCTCTGTCAGCTCCAGATCCCCATGAGGGGACATGAGAGAAGCCTCCCACAAGGATGGTAAAACATCAAAATGCCTGGGCATACCCTGGGCAATGTCCTTGCAGACGGCAAATTCTCTCACACCAGAAGCGACTTGCAGTTTCTCAAATCGCTCCTGACACGAAAAAAAATCAGGGATGGGCAAACTTTGGCCCTCCAGGTGTTTTGGACTTCACCTCCCACAATTCCTAACAGCCTACTGGCTGTTAGGAATTGTAGGAGTTGAAGTCCAAAACACCTGGAGGGCCAAAGTTTGCCCATGCCAGGTGTAGATGCACCCAAAGAGAAAGTAACTGACCCAAGGTCACCAGTGAATTTCATCATCAAGCAGCAACTTCAATCTAGATTTCCCAATCCAGACTGAAAGGCATTACATATAGCACTGATTCACACATTCTGTAGAACAAGGACTGGAATTATGTGTGGTTCATGCAAATGAAGAGGCAGAAATGCATATTCAAATTGACCAATTAAAAGAAATCCACATAAAAGAAATATTTGACTGTAAGCTCAGTGATCAATGCATAGAGAATTTTATTGTAAGACAGCATTTAGCTCATGTTTCAGTTCAATGACAACCAAAAAAGATCCATCATGGCACAGTATCAGCCAAGGAGAGCATTCTTTTAGTAAAGGCCTATTGGGCGTAGTGGGGAAAATCATGCACGCGCACCTAAAGAAGCCACATGGAGGCAAATTTACAATCCAGCCATGACTTTTGCCGCAGATGAATGCCAAAGAGGCAGCGTGTCTCAGGGACCTTGCTCTGTGTGCCTGCGCCTGGCTGGACTGTGACAGCCACCCCTCCCTCTATAATGTGAGGGGGACGAGCACATCCATACCTCATGACTACGCCCACACGGCAGTATTTGAACATACAGATTAATGTACATCCCGCAAGGTGACCACTTCAATTGTGTGAACGCTACACAAGTATGCCATCAGAGAGAGAAATCCAAAGGCATTCAGTTCATCTGCCCAGATATGCATCCAATATAAAATACATCCCTCCTCTCCAAAATCCAATACTGCCATCCGTCTGCTTCAAAATCCAATACCATTTTTCAAGGAACCATGACAATTTTTATCCAAGGAAAAATAATGAGGGGAATGATAAGAAGGGATGGAGCAGAGCAAGGGAAGAAAGATGAGCGGCCATAAGGACGGAGCATCGAAAGCATGAAAGCCCCACCCACCAAGATGGAAATGGGATGCCTTGCTTCAAGCGTACTATGATTTCTAGACCTTTTCAAGAGCTCATCCACACTCACACATTCCCACACTGGGCACAATTCACAACCAGAAGGACTAAGAGCATGCTTTCCGGGGGAAATGAGGGAAAATGGGTTCTGCCCCTGTGCAACGGAATCAATGATGCACGCCCAGAGATGCAGAGCAGCATCCTTGCACATGTGTAGTGTATGGCTGCGAGGTGGATGGGTTTATTCCTTAGTTGCCTTCCTGCCAGATCCAGATACGCTTTGAAAAGAGTGAACACTCAAAGCATGGCCACACAGGTGCTTATCTGTCACTTATTCACAACTGGGGGGAAAATGTGCAGCCACTGGGGAAAGCGAAGCATGCATGCTCTAGTGCAAATTTACAGAGATGTATCCACATGAGGGATAAGCAGTAAGATGAGATTTGCGAGCACAGAAAAGATGCATGCACAATCTCCTGCCTGCAGATTAAGCTCGCAAGGAGAGGAGCTGTCACAATGGTGAACATCATGGTATATATACCCAGCAAAAGGTAAGCACACCATGAAACCCACACCAACCATTGGCTCCTTCCCTCTCTCCCATGTCCTTTCTCCCTCCTTTCTTCTGCGATTCACAGGTACCAAAACTGCACACAGACACAGACACACACGTGTGTATATGTGTGTGTGTGTGTGTGTGTGTGTGTGTATATATATATATATATATATATATATATATATATGAGAAGCCCTTCAGCATGGCTTCCCACGCGTGTGCAAGGAGGCGAGTGCACGCTCCCCACCAGCCCCAGTTTGCAGTTTCTTTGCACGAGGGGGAGGAAACACATGTCTGCACTGAGCCTCAGAAGCACCTCGCTTCCTTTCTTTCTCTCTCTCTCTCTGTCTCTACTGCTTGCCTTTCCTTCATCACTTGCCTTTCCTTCATCACATATAGAAACAATCTATTTGAGTGTGTGTGAGAGAGAGAAATGGGGGAGAAAAAGAAAGGTGGGGGAGGAAAAAAAGGTGGGAAAGTGCTCTCTTTCCCCAATCACCATCACTATAGACAGAGATGTAGGTATAGATATAGGTATGGATAATTGTGTGAGAGGGTGGGGTAGAGAGAAAGGTAAGAGAGTAATGAAGGTGAGAAATGTGCTCTTTTCCTGTGCCCGGATCACATAGAGAAACGACCACCATAGATACAGATGCTCTCCTTCCCCAAACCCCCATCACATATAGAAACTACCACTATAGATGGAGATGTAGGTGTAGATAGATATAGGTATGGATAATTTAGTGTGAGAGAGAAAAGTGGGGTAGAGAGAAAGGTAAGGGAGAAAAGAAGGTAGGAAAGTGCTCTCTTTTCCGGTACCCTGATCACATACAGAAATTACCACTACAGATACAGATGTAGATGCTGTGTAGGAGAGAAATGTGCTCTCCTTCCATGAACCCCCATCACATTGAGAAACTACCACTATAGATGATGTAAGTGTAAATATAGGTGTGGATAATTGAGTGTGAGAGAAAAGGTAGATTAGAGAAAGGTGAGGGAGAAAAGAAGGTGGGAAAGTGCTCTTTTCCCAATCACATGGAGAAACCACCACTATAGATAGAGATGTAGGTGGAGATATAGGTATGGATAATTGAGTGTGAGAGAGAAAGGTGGGGTAAAGAGAAAGGCAAGGGAGAAAAGAAGGTGGGAAAATGCTCATTTCCCGCACTCGGATCACATGGAGAAACGACCACCATAGACACAGATGCAGATCCTGTGAGACAGAGACATGTGCCTTCCCTGAACCATCGATACATAGAGAAACTATAGATGCAGATGTAGGTGTAGTTTAGGTATGGATAATTGAGTGTATGAGAGAAAGTTGGCTTAGAAAGGTAAGGGAGAAATGAAGGTGGGGAAGTGCTCTCTTTTCCTGCCCCTCATAATATATAGAAACCACCATCATAGATACAGATGTGGATCCTGTGTGCTCTCCTTCCATGAACCCCCATCACATAGAGAAACTGTTGGTACAAATGTAGGTGTAGCTATAGGTATCATTGAGTGTATGAGAGAAAGATGGGTTGGAGAGAAAGGTGAGGGAGAAAAGAAGGTGGGAAAGTGCTCCCCCCCCCCTGTAACCTGATGATATATAGAAACTACCACTATAGATACAGATGTAGATCTTGTGTGGGAGAGAAATGTGCTCTCCTTCCATGAACCCCCACCCGGATCACAGAGAAACGACCCCTATAGATACACATGTGGATCCTGTGAGAGAGAGACATGTGCTCTCCTTCCCTGAAGCCCCATCACATAGAGAAACTATAGGTACAGATGTAGGTGTAGATTTAGGTATGGATAATTGAGTGTATGAGAGAAAGGTGGGATAATGAGAAAGGTAAGGGGGAAAAGAAGGTGGGAAGTGTTCTCATTTCTCATAACTTGATCATATAGAGAGACTACCACTATAGATAGAGATGTAGGTGTAGATATAGGTATGGACAATTGAGCGTGTGAGAGAAAGGTGGGATAAAGAGAAAGGTAAGGGGGAGAAGAAGGTGGGGAAGTGCTCTCTTTTCCCACAACCTGATCATATAAACTACCACTATAGATAGAGATGTAGGTGTAGATATAGGTATGGATAATTGAGTGTGTGAGAGAAAGATAAGGGGGAAGAGAAGGTGGGAAAGGGCTCCCTTTTCCCATAACCTGATCATATAGAGATAAATAGAGATGTAGGTGTAGATATAAGTATGGATCATTGAGTGTGTGAGTGAAAGGTAAGGGGGGAAAGAAGGTGAGAAAAAGCTCTCTTTTCCCATAACCTGATCATATATAGAAACGACCATTGTAGATACAGATGCAGATCCCGTGTGAGAGAGAAATGCGCTCTCCTTCCACAAACCCCCACCCCGATCACAGAGAAACGACCACCATAGATACACATGTGGTTCCAGTGTTAGAGAGACATGTGCTCTCCTTCCCTGAACCCCCATCACATAGAGAAACCACCACTATAGATAGAGATGTAGGTGTAGATAGATAGATAGATATAGGTATGGATAATTGAGTGAGAGGTGGAGAGAAAGGCGAGGGAGAAAAGAAGGTGGGCAAGCGCTCTCCTTCCCCGAATCCCAATATCAATATAGCTATGTGATCTATTGATAGCTATATTGATATCTGTATAGAGAAATGAAGGGAGGGAGAGCAAGGTGAGGAAAGGAAGGCGGTGGGAAAGTCCTGACCCTTCCACGCTCCATCCCGCGGATCCCGAGTGGGGAGCCCTGTCTCCCCCGCGTCCCCACCCCCCACGCAGCCCTTACCGGGGTCCCCTGCGGAGGGGGGCGTGGCAGGGTCCGGCGAGGTCCCCTCCCGCGGCCATGCTGCTCTGATGCCTCCTCTCCTGCTTCCTCCCCCCCACAACTACGCGTGGCGGCTGTGGCAGAGGCAGCAGCCCCTTCGCCTGGCTGTGGGAACCCCCCTCTCCACGCCCGAGCCCCCCTTTCTGTTCCCTTCCTCTCTCCGCCCCCTCCCCTTGGTACCTGCCACGGGTGGGAGCCGCTCAGCGCCTCGTCCTCTTCGGGGGGGACCCTCCGGACCCGGTCCCCCCCTTCCTCCCTCCCAAACTCGGCCTTCCTCCTCCTCCTCCTCCTCCTCCTCTTCTTCTTCCACGCCTTGCAGTGGGCGGGGAGGGGGAGGCGAGGTCCTCCAGCGGTTTCCACGGGGGAGAAAAAGGGAGGAGCGGCGGGCGATGTAGTGTGGAAAGGCAAAAGGAGGGATGGAAGGAAGGATGGATGGAGAAGAGGGGGTGTCTCCGTCTCCCGAGGATGCGCCCCTCCCAGCCTCTCCCTCCTTTGCTCACCCTCCTCCTCCCCTCCCACGAAGATGCTCTCAAGCTCCTCCCACTCTCCTCTCCCTTTTCCCCTTCCCTGCTCTTTTTATTCCCCCCCCCCCTTCCTGCTGTTCAGGAATGCACGCCGTTGCCCCCCCCCCCGCCTCCCATTCATAGCATCACGTGGGTGGTGGGGAGGGGAGGGTGGGGAAAGGGAGGGGGAGGGAAAGCGGTCCAGCATCCACACATATATACACACACACACATAGCAAGCATCCTATCCACTCTCCCTCATTCCCTCATCGCTATATGTCATCCCACTCCCACCCCACTCACTTCCTCCCTTCTCCCACCCCACGCAGGCCCCACTCCTGCCCCCCCACACACACACCCTTTGCAGCCTTAAAGAGCTCCATTTTTGAACCGGCTTGACACCCTCGTCTTGCCTTGGAAGGACATCCCTCCCCCGCCCCCCCCCTCTCTGATCATCCTTCTCTTGAGCACTAGCGCCTCCAGAAAGGAAAGACTGACACCATCTCCCTCCTCAACAATGCCCACCACCCTCAGCTCCATCCTGCGGGGGGGGGGGGGTTCTTCCTTTCTAGGCTATGGCTCTTTGATTAAAATTACATTCCTGAAATGAACCATGGACCCTCTTGGAAGGCTTCAGAGGCTAGATCAGGCATGGGCAAACTTCAGCCTTGCTCTAGGTCAGTGGTTCTCAACCTGTGGGTCACCAGCCAGTTTACCAGCGGTTAGGATTTCTGGGAGTTGAAGGCCAAAACATCTGAAGGCCACAGGTTGAGAACCACTGCTCTAGGTGTTTTTAAACTGTATTTTATGTTTGTTGTGGCATCAAACACAAACAACAAAACTTTATTTATATACTGTTCTATCTCCTCAAGGGGACTCAGAGTGGTTTCCAAGTAACAATCAATGCATACAAAGAAAACAGCATAAACATAAAATTAACAAGACAATATAAGCATTAAAAACCACAATAGTACATATATTTAAAATAATCCTGCCTGTTCAAGGCAGTTTAAAAGGCCGGACTGGACTAATGCAATTTTAGAGGGCCCGGGAAATTAGGTAGAGTCTATGGCTGTACATTTCCAGGGCCTAATAGAAGAAAGGGACCTGGGTAATTGGTAGAAGAAGATATGGCCAATTTCAACAGCATCTGGGGCAGAGCTAGAACTAGTCGTTCTCAAAGGTTTGTTTAAACCACCAGGTCTTCAGGCTCTTACGAAAGGAGGGAAGGGATGGGGCCTGTCTTATTTCTCCAGGAAGGGCGTTCCAGAGGCGAGGGACCACCACCAAGAAGGCCCTCTCTCTCGTCCCCACCAACCGTGCTTGTGACAGTGGTGGGATCAAAAGGAGGGCCTCCCTGGAAGATCTTAAAGTTCGCACCGGTTCATAGAGGGAGATGCGATTGTGAAGATAGGTGGGGCCCAAACCGTTTAGGGCTTTATAGGTCATAACCTGCACCTTGAATTTGGCTCGGCAACTTATCGGCAGCCAGTGACACTGTTTTAAAATTAGCGTTGTATACTCCCTACAGCTTGCTCCAGTAAGGAGCCTGACTGCCGCCCATTGTACCAATTGGAGCTTCCGGGCCGTCTTCAAGGGCAGCCCCACGTAGAGCGCATCAAATTGCATCAAATTGCTGCCAACTTGTAAGACGCCTTGAGTCACCTCTGGGCTGAGAAAGGCAGAATATAAATACAGTAAATAAATAAATAAATAAATAAATAAATATGAGCAATGCTCCAAAACAAGATACATTTTATGCATGCATGAGATACATAACTGCACATGGCTATCCTTGAGTATTTGTTTGTTGAGATTTTGTGGATATCTGCTGTTTATTTTTTTATACTGCCCTTCAATTTTTTCCCCAAAACAGATTTATAACCAAAGTGCAAAAATGTAAAAACAAGAAAGCATGCATACCTAAATGAGTTAAAATCCACAAAATCATATAAGAAGTATTTTTTTAAAAAAGAAGTTACTCAGCGGGATTAAATTTGCTTCCAAAAAAAGGTCAGAAAAACAAGTCCTGGCCTGCTGGTGCACTGAAAAAGACAACGAAGTGTAAAATATAGATGAATCTGTGCTTCAGTCTGAACTTTAAAAGATCTATCCAAAGTGCTGAATTTATTTCGGGGGATAGCATTTCGCACCTTAGATGTGTGTCTTCAAGCCACCTGTCAACTTACAGCAGCCCCATGAATGACATTGTGTTTTCTCAGGCGAGGAATAGAGATGGCCCTTCTTATGAAATACATCTTACATCAACTGGTTTTCACTGGCAGCCTCCCATCTGAGTACTAACCAGGACTGACTATACTGACATTCCAAGATTAGAGGGGATCTATCGTCCTTAGGGTATTTAGACAACATCTTTATAGATTGCTTGAATTGTGGACTAAAACTTGAACCATGTTGACATGACATCACAGAAACACATAGATATGAAGCACCTTGTCTAAGATGCCTGAGGTATTGAAATACATTTATGTGTGGTACCAATATACCAATATATACCAACATACAAATATAAATTATGATAATATAAGATTGCAACTTATTAAGTACTACTTTGGCCACCCCTCCAGTAATCAATTTTCAACATATCTATGTGTGCCTAGTTTGGTCCAGATCCATTGATGTTTGGTGCTCTCTGGATTTAGATGAACTACAACTCCCCCAAATCAAGATGAATTTCTCCCAAAGACTGCCAATATTTTTTGCTGCTCATGGGGACTCTGTGTGCCAAGTTTGGTCCAATTCCATCTTTGGTGGAGTTCAGGGTGCTCATTGATTGAAGGTGAACTATAAATCCCAGTACCTATAACTTCAAAATGTCCAGGCCAATTCCCCTCAAAACCCACTAGCATTCAAATTTGGATATATTGGGTCTGTATTGCAAGTTTGGTTCAGATCCATCATTGTTTGGGTTCATAGTGTGCTCTGGATATAGGTGAGCTACAACTCTTATAAATCCCTCCAAAGACCTCCAGTATTTTTTTTTGGTCATGAGGGTTCCGTGTGCCAAGTTAGTTCCAGGTCCATCATTGGTGGAGTTCAGAGTGCGCTTAAATTACAGGTGAACTATACATTGTAGTACCTACAACTCCTATAAGTCATGGTAAATTCTTCCCAAACTTCTCTAGTATGTTCAGTTGCTGATCAATTCTTCTGTTTGCTGTGTGCCATAGGAAAGAATAGGAAAGGGTTGTGGGAGAGGCAGTGGGGGGGTCATGCAAATTCCACACTAATGGAGAGAGTAAGGAACACTGGGATGTCTGTGGTGGAGGAAAAACATAAAATCTAGGATGAAATTGTCCCTATATGAAAGCCTTCACTTGGGTGGTAGGCAGTATGATGTTTGTGGAGGACATTGGCACGGCTCTTGTACGTGTTTACGGCACTCTCTATAACCTGCAATATCACTGGAGGGAGGGGCATTGATCTCTCCTGGGTAGTTGGAGTTATACCTATTTGTGGAAGTGGGAGCCTGTTTGTGTAAGTGGACACCCTGGCAACACACACACACACACACACATACATAACCTACAATCAAAGATCATTCTGAACTACACCAACTATGGCAGGGGTCCTCAAACTTTTTAAACAGAGGGCCAGGTCACAGTCCCTCACACTGTTGGAGGGCCGGATTATAATTTGAAAAAAACACAAATGAATTCCTATGCACACTGCACATATCTTATTTGTAGTGCAACAAATAAACACTTTAAAACAATACAATAATTAAAATAAAGAACAATTTTAACAAATATAAACTTATTAGTATGTCAATGGGAAGTGTGGGCCTGCTTTTGGCTAATGAGATAGGATCATTGTTGTAGAGTGCTTTCAAGTCATTTCAGATTTAGGTTAACACTGAGTGAGGGCCGGGTAAATGACCTTGGAGGGCCATATCCGGGACCCGGGCCTTAGTTTGAAGACCTGAACTATGGAATTGAACCAAACTTGGCGCACAGAACTCTCATGGCTGACAGAAAACACTAAAAGGGTTTGGTGGGCATTGACCTTGAGTTTTGGAGTTGTAGTTCACCTACATCCAGAGAGCACTGTGGACTCACACAATGATGGATCTGGACCAAGCTTGGCAATGCTCAATATTCTGAACCTCACCAACAATAGAATTGGGCCAAATTTCCCACACAGGATCCTCATGTCCAACAAAATATACTGTGTTTTCTGATGGTCTTTGGTGACCCCTGACACCCCCATGTGACACCCCCCCCCCCCGGTCTCAACCTCCCTGGTTGAGAAACACTGGTATAGATGATATGTGCAGTGTGCATAGGAATTTGTTCTCTTTTTTTCAAACTATAGTCCAGCCCCCAATGGTCTGAGGGACCATGAACCAGCTTTCTGCTTTAAAAGATTGAGGATCCCTGTTTTAAAGGACAGCCTCAGATCATTTCTTCAAAGGACACCAAATGCCCGAAAAGGATCCTCGTTCCCACTGACATGAGAGTTATAGCTTCCACTATGTATAATGCTTTTTTTTATGTAAACCTCTATCGCGTGTGTCAATCAATTTGTGACATAACTAGATCTATTTGCAACATAACTACATGCTTTGAAATTAGAGTAAGGAAATAAATAAACTCATCCAATTAATTACTTAAGGAGCATGTTAGCTGTGCATGGGCGGAATAGGCAATCATATATTCCTATCTCAGATTTTAATTCCATGAAGCTGATTGTGCCTTTAATTGTGCCTTCTGCCTCCTCTCCCTCTGGTTTTGCAGCGTGGGGTGTGTTTGTGTGTGTTTCAGATATAGCTGGGTTGTTCATTGCAGCAAACCAAGGCACAGATGCTTAACACCTATATGTGAGGGAGCTTTCCATAAGAATTAAAAAAGAAATCTGCGGGATGTAGATCTGCCAGATATTCCTTATGATAAAGGATACCCTTTATTTGTGTTTTGGAATAGTGCCCCTTATTGAGCTGTCCCTTATTTTGTAAAGGATGCCCCCTCTCTGAGAGTTGGAAAGCT